CACCAGCCCCCAAACCCCACACCCTGCCCCTCTCAGAAACAGAAAGGAGACCCCTGCCTGCATGTGGCACCCCCTGGAGCTTGCCCTCGGAAACGCCTGCCCCTGCCCTCCCCAGCCCCACTGCTGCTCTGGCGCCCCCTGGTGCCTGTGATTTCCCCAACCAGACTTTGTGATTGTAAAACGTTAACCGGGGGGATCATACCCTGGGGCTGTGTGGGCTGAGCTCGCTGTACCCCCACCAGCACCCTGTGTGCCCCCTCCCTGCAGTCCCACCTTCTTCCCCCATGCCATGACCTCTGCATGCCCCCATTTCCCCTTCCCCCATGCCAGGGGCTCCCCCAGGCTAGGGGCTCTGTGTGCCTCCCCCTTCTCCTGTCTTTCTTCCTGTCACGGGGGTGTGTGAGCTGCAGCTGCATCTGGGGTGGAGCCGAGGGGACCTATCAGAGTGTGGTTGTTTCCCACCTATTTCAAAGGGGACCTCACAGGCCACATCAAAGCCCCCAGCTACTTGTGGGGCTGGGGCTGGGCTGCTGATGCAGGGTGATGTGGGTTCTGGGGCCTGATTCTGTGTGGCCACATGAGTGAGGCGCTGCTGCCGGTACGCGCCGGAGCAGAGGCAGCGCCCGGATGTGGCCAGAAGCCCCCGCAGCAGAGCGCGGCGCGCAGCTCCCGGCCGCCCAGGGACAGCGTGAGAAGCGAGAGCGTGGCGTTCAGTGCAGCTTTGCGGGCAGAGTCACCGCAGGGCGGGACCGAGCCCTATGCGCAGAGAAATGACCCTCAGCTGGATTGTTTTACGGGTGGGGAAACCGAGGCACACGGCCGGCAGGCCTAGGGCATGATGAGCAGTCCCATCCCCCGACACTAGCTCCTAGGTAGCACTCCCTTCCCAGAGCCCAGGATGGAACCCAGGAACCCTGTTTTCCCATCGCCTCCCATTTTCCCCTTCAGAGGCTTCCCAAACTTTTTAGCATCACCCCCCCCACACACACACACTCCAAAATAGCAAAACTTGTTGAGGAAAAAAAAAGGAGGAAATTGACTGGGGCCTCAAAACTTGATTGGGGGGGGCTGGGTCGCCTCGCGCCCCCCCTGGAATTTCTTCACCCCCCCAGGGGCCCTCTCCACTCCGGTGCTAGGGCACAGGGCAGGCTCAGAGGAGCAGAGAATGGGACATGGGGCTTTCCCCCTCCAGCGGCCCTTCTCTGCACCAGTTTGGGGCAGGGGGGGGCTTTTCCTTGTGTTTTGATAAGGATCCCCCCTCGCCCCTGTGTCTGACAGACTGAGGTGGGATTCTAGCCGGAATCTGCTGTCCCCTGGCGGGGAAAGGGAGGGAGGGTGGAGCTGATCCTGCCTCCCACAGGCCCACCAAGACAAACACACTCGAAAGGGGAGAGAACTCAAAACTCAGCGGCTGGAGGAATTCAGCCCTAGATACAGGCGCACCCCGAGCACCGCCCCCAGCATCCGCCCCTACCTTGCGCCCC